TGTTGAGCGACTTTTACCATTGAGTCTCCAGGGCCTTTCTATCTGCTTCCCTTCTTGACCCTCCACCCTCGCTGCCTGAGACATCCCTCCTCACCCACATCCCATGCTTGTCCAATTCCCAAATTCTCCCTGGTATTCAAGATCTTCAAAGAACTTCCTCATCTTGCCTTTTCAACTCTGCTTTCCACTCAATATCCCTACCAGAGTAGAACAACAACAGCCCATGTGAGGACAAGTTCTTGTGTTGCCAAAAACTCAGTAAAAACAAAAGAATTGGCTATAGTTTATTCTAAGTCCTAATATATTTCCGATTTTTTTTCTTGGCAACTGGCCTCATTTTCTAGCTCATAGAGAGCAATGAAAAATGTGTGAAAATGCAATAATTGTAATGATATGCCTAGTTTGGGGAGCAGCTAATACCATAAAATAAAAATCTAAAAGTACAAAACAGTAAGAATAAACTCTTGCTCAAGTCCAGGATTTCCAGAAGTTTCTTTAAGAGCTGATGGAAAGGGATGATGTTCTAGGACAGGGGGGGCCTTTGATTATGACCCTTACTTTCCCTTGGCCTTCCAGAAAATTCTTACATGTTTCTTTCTATGTCATAGTTAGCCATTTCCACTCCAGGTCACCCTTATCTGAGCTCTCTACTATCCCTGAGTGTATGCAGAAAGGCACAGGCAGGAAACCAGTGCCCATTTACTTTTCCACATCACTAAGTCAGTGCCTTCAGATGCCCAGCATGTGGTTTCCATCCTCAGAGAGCTGCTGATGTTAGTGCTGCAATTGTCCAACTCTACACACGTCAGTTCAATGGGTGTAGCCTGGAATTATCTGGAATTGTGATCTGTTCTAGGCAGTGACTAACTGTTGCTCAGCTCTGTTCTTCTTAAAATGGTGAGAGGATCTTCTAAGTTCAGAACTGAAACAAAGGGTGGCAGGGGAAAGAGGAAGCAGGATTGAAGCGAAGGTAAATAACTTTCATCTTATAGTCCAGAAGGCCAAGAAGCAGAGTGTTGCAGAAGGGCTAGGAGTCAAGTTAGTAGATACGCATTAAATCCATTGAATTTAGGTTTCCAAGCACATATTTTTATCACCTCCCCCTGGGTGACTGCTGATTTTATCTTGTATTTGGCTGACAGCTCTGTAGGTCTCGAATCATGTGGACGATATGCAACCTCAAGGATACCCATGTGTCTCTCCACATTTGGGTGTGAGGACCTTATCTGAAGAAATTTCAGCCCAAAACTGTGAAGACTCTAACAATCCCTGGGGAAAATTCCAAGCAACTGGGGGTGGGAGCCCATGAATCTATTTCCAAGAGTCTCACCCTCTGGAAGGAAAATTCCGGAAGGTATTCTGTAAACTATGAGAGATCCTAGTAGAGTCTTGCCCACATCACCTACTGCAGTGAGACTCAGTCATGCATCCCTATTTCAGGAATGTTTTCCTTCACTCTCCCCCACCCCTCTCCCTCATCCTTGTTTCCCAAATAAACTACCCACACTCGTGTCCTTGTCTTAGGTCTTGCTTTCAAACTAACTCACACTAATTCAAGGACTGGAAAACACCATGAGGTTTTTTTTTTCCAATAACATGATCCATTCTCTAACTGCACAAGATTCCTCACGTTAACTAATTCAGGACTTCTTCTTGGACTTTACTTGTTTATTCATCCATTCACCATTCACAAATCTTATCCCTCTTCATTTAAGAAATATGTAAGCTGGGGGCCGGCCCCGTGGCCAAGTGGTTAAGTTCGTGCACTCTGCTTTGGCGGACCAGGGTTTCGCCGGTTCAAATCCTGGGTGCGGACATGGTGTCACTCATCAGGCCATGCTGAGGTGGCATCCCATATGCCACAACTGGAAGGACCCACAACTAAAAAATAATACACAACTATGTACCAGGGGCCTTTGGGGAGAAAAAGGAAAAATAAAATCTTAAAAAAAAAAAAGAAATACGTAAGGCTGTCAACTCATGGCCATCCCAAGAAACAAAGAGATAACGTTGAGCAAGGCAGATATATTCTCTGCCCTCAGAAAGGTCTAGTGTCATAAGAAAAACTGAATAAATAAAATGATTACATGAATAAGTCTAAAATGGGAAGTAGTGTTAGTCCCACGGAGGAAAGGTGTCAAACAATAGGAAAGTGTAAGATAAAGACATGACCTATTCTATGGATTTGTAATTGAAGGTGGTGAGGGGAAGCTAAATTATTTAAATTGCAGATAAATGACAAGAACGAATGGGCATTATCTAAATTAAGTGATGTCGTGGGGAGGAAGAGGTAGGCCTTATGACTAACATGGGCAAAGGTCTTCAAAGGGTGAATCCTAACACATTAGAAGAAATAAAATTTCACAGGAGTGTTTAAGTCTAATTGATTCCTGAATGGGTTTCATTCGAGAATCAAGCCTTTGTGAGACACTCAAAACACTACTTAATTGGAATACATGGTTAACCTCCATTGTAACTTGGGGGCACGAGTATTCAGGAACTTATATGAGCCCATGTTTCATTTACAATTACATGGCCTGTGACATTGGGAAAGATGTTCCCAAGTCTAACTCCAAGTAGCATCTCCAGGGCGAGGTTCATGTTCTGATTAGGTTTAGTTAAGATTGATCAATTGGGGAGCCTGTTGATACATGGGGGATCCCAAAATGCCAGCAAGTGGAATATTTTCTATAATAGATCAACTTTACCATTGGTTGGGTCATTCTGAGCATGTGCTAAAATCTGGCTTTCTCTGCTCTGTGCATAACATCCTCATTTCCTTGCTTCAGACTATCAATTCAGAGGGACTGAGAAGAGATTTATCTCAGAACAGAATAAATCTTATGCCTGATCCCCAAGCATTGTTTAACTGCACTGGACCCAATGGACAATGAGCTAAACCCCAAAGTCCAGATTGATGATCTTACTCCCAATTTACAAGCGTGAGGGTACATTTAATCTTGTATTTGCTGTTATCCAGACTTCATTTCAAACTCCTTCGGTTGAAGGCTATTGGCCCCTGGACAATGAAATCCTCTGCTTTAAATCCATATTTCCTTATTTATGAGGTGCTCATTGCATCCCCAGTTACTGGTTGGGTTAACCAAATGATCAAGCAGATGTTACAATAGGACTAACTAAAACACAATAGGGGGAAGAGTTTGTTTTTGAGCTTTCCATGTTTTCAAAGGAAGGCACTCCAAGTTTTTAGATTGTATTTCGGGTGTAGAAGAGCAAGGGGGTTCAGTTTTCCATAAAAATACTTTTCATCAATTGATCTATTCTCTCCCTGTGTCATTTTCACACTCCACACATGCAGTGTTTCCAAAGCACTAAGTATCTCCAGGTTTTTAGAGGACAGATTGGCTCCTTTGATTTAGATTTTATTCTGTGCATATTAAAGGTTGTGGCTGTTTCATTAGATTTATTACCACCACAACCCCTCTGCATTCAGTCACCCAGGAGAAATGGGTGCCAAACCACCAGATGTCTGGAGCAGTATTTGGCAGGCCAGATATCAGGTCCATGTATCCAAAGGGTCAAATTCCTCCACCCTTAAGCACGTGACAGAGAAGCAATATTGCTGTTGTTCCCCTCTGCCGGGCGGGATCCAGAATTCCCCCAAGACACGGATCCTATGGAGAATGAAGAGGAGAAGGAGACTCAGGACCTATTATGCAGATGATATGGAGGGGGACAGGATGTTGGATGTGAGGAGCTCACTTCTCACTTGGTTAATCTCTGTCTCTGTCTCTGTCTCTGTCTCCCTCTCCCTCACCCCTTCCAGATACACACGTAGATGATGCATCTCCATTATGTATGTGCTTCTCTTGCTCCTCCTCTCAGCAGGAGTAGGGTCATCAAGACCTCTCTCTCCTTCTCCGCATCCTCTCTCATTACGTGATCCAGTTGTAGAATCCATTGGAAAACCTCAAGAATTCCTAAGCACTGCTCTGAGATCCTCATATCAGGTGTAGAGTTCCCTTGGAATCAGAGATTTTGTTCACGTTTTAAGGATTTAGTGTGCAGATTTCCCACTTCCCAGCATGGCTTCAAAGGAGGTGGGAGCAGCTATATTTGGCTTTGCTCCAGACACCCCCTCCAGTCTCTCCAGCTCTTTGCTTGACCACCTCTCCATGGCTCCTGACACGGGACAGGATTCTGGAGCTTCAGTAGTGTGGTCAGTCATCAGCTGTTATCTGAGAAGTCGCCACCACATTGGAAACATCAAAGTATCCCTTATGTTCAGATCTGAATTTGAAGTAATGAATGGTGCTATTGATCTTCAAATTTGCGAGTTCTCCACTTGAACCTGGCCCATTCCCTGTATACAGGATCGTCTGAGCTTCTCAGTGCACCTCCAAGTCTCTCCTTGCCAACTCACAGCTCTCATTATTTTCTCTTGTATCTCACTCACTGCGACCACATTAAAATATTTGCACTTCTCTTACCCTGTTCGTTATTGCAGCAATCTGATTCTTTGCATACACTGCTTCTTATGAAGCTTGTCTTCTCCATCTACTGGAAAACTCCTACTGATTTTCCAAGCCCTTGCTTAGGCATCGCTTCCTCCAGGAAGCCTTCTCTGAATAACCCCCCAGGCTTTGAGTTCTCTCCGGGGCTCCTGGGGTACTTCATGCTGCCTCTGACCTAGCACAGCAGGTTCTGCTTGATTGAGAAAAGCTCGAAAGCAGTAGAAAACATTCAGTACCCCTGCAGTGTCTCTCGTCTTAACCCCACAAAATACTACGAATAGGCCTTGAAGTATTTATTCCAGCAATGTTTTATTATGGTCTTTTCAATATTTCGCAAAACCTAAGGATATTGTCTGTTTTATCTCCCGTTTAGAAAGAGTTGCTGAACTTAGACGGGAAGAGAGAGAGTTTTACTCTCCTTCAGGATATGTCTGGGTTTGAATTTACTCCCAGCCTGGAGAGAGGGAAACGTTGGAGATTTATATCTTTTTTATTTGAACAAAGGTTCATTATGTCATGTCATAGTTAAGGCATGATGATAATATTGATGCTGGTGATGATGACAACGATGGTGACAATATTGATGATGACGATGGTGGTAATGACGAAGATGGTGATAACATTAATGCTGATGGTGATGGTGATGATGATGCTGGTGATAATTTTGATGTTGTTGTGGTTGGTGGTGGTGGTGATAATGAAAATGCTGATTTTGATGGTGGTAATGGTGATAGCTAATATATTTTGAACAAAAGTCATATATGCCAGGATCTACTCCTTAAGTCAAGGATCAGCAAACTATGACCAATGGGCCAAATCTAGTCCCTTACCCACTTTTATAAATAAAATGTTATCAGAACGTAGTGACACGCATTCAGTTACATAGTCGCTATGGTTGCTTTTACACTAAGATGGCAGAGATGCATAGTTGCAACAGAGACCATATGGCCCACAAAGCCTAAACTGTTTACCATGTGGCCTGTTACAGAGAAAGGATGCCGACTCCTCTTCTTAGTAATTTTGATACTTCATCTTTTTGGAACTTTTCAGCGAATAAGGTTGGCACTCCTACCATCCCAGTGTTACAGGTGTTGAATGTGAGGCACTCATGATTTAAGTATCTTTTTCATAGTCCCACTCAGAGTAAGTAATGGAGCTTGGATTTAAAACAGAGCATCACATAAAGAAGATATGGTATATATATACAATGGAATACTACTCAGCCATAAAAAAGGACAAAGTTGTCCCATTCACAACAACATGGATAGACCTTGACGGTATTATGTTGAGTGAAATAAGCCAGACAGAGAAAGACAAACTCTGTATGACTCCACTCATAGGTGGTAGCTAACATATAGACAAAGAGAACTGATCGGTGGTTACCAGGGGAAAGGAGCACTAGGGGTGAAGTGGTACACCTACAACATGACTAATAATGATGTACAACTGTAATTTCACAAGGTTGTTAACTATCATAATCTTAATTAAAAAAAAAAACAGAGCATCACGTAAAAGGGTAGATCTTAATATTCTCACCAAAAAAACAAGAAAGAGAGAGAAGAAATAGTGGTAACTATCAGAGGTGATGGATATGTTAATTAGCTTAATTGTGGTTATTGTTTTCAGTGTATATGTATATCAAATCATCAAACTGTACACTTTAAGTAGACAGTCATGTGTTGCTTAATGACAGAAATATGTTCTGAGAAATGCATGGTTAGGCGATTTTGTTGTGTGAACATCGTAGAGTGCACTTACACAAACCTAGATGGTAGAGCCTACTACACACCTAGGTTCTATGGCACTAATCTTACGGGACTACCATCCTATATGTGGCTCGTTGCTGATCAAAACATCATTATGTGGCACTTGACACTATACAATTTTTAACAGTCAATTATGCCTCGATAACAAAAATAAATATTCTGAAATATTTCCAGTTGTTACCCTATTACAAACTATTTCACATTTTCAATTATTTTATTTTTCTGTGCATCATTTTTGTAGTTTCTTCTATCTTATGAATAATATTTCCTTCAGAGTTGTGTATACAACTTTCTAAGCTAATTATTCTAGTTTTTATAATTCGAGTTTTAGCTACATATTGTAGTTGGTTATTGTGCCTATTTTTTCTTTACAGCTCAGGCTTATTTACCAATTTAAAAATTTTGTATTTTGTTTATTAAAAATTATATTGTATTTTATTTATTATTAAAAATATTTAAAAATGTTGTATTTTATTTGTTAAACAGAGCAAATGGATAATTTTAACAAAGAAGTTTTAAAATAAAATAGAGCATCAGATGTGAAGTACGTGATCACCGTGTAAGACTGACCCTTCTTATGAGGGTTAAAGGTCAGAAGTCCAACCTATGCAAGTCCATCCTATGTGGTGTTAAGGGTCCGGGACACTGGATGCCTCTCTAGACCTGAACTTGGGTTGAGGTTTCAGACATTCTGCTATTTCCATGTGGTTTCCAGCAATAATTTCTATTGTGATAATACCCTACTTTACACCCTGAAGTTATGCTGAGACTTCTCTATAATTTATTGCATTTTTTATTGAGAAGACTAAAATGTACAGAAAGAGCATTAAGCAAAATTAACTACTAATAATAATCAAGATCAAACATAGGTATAACCAAAGGCAAGTCAAAAAGAACATGGCCAGCATTCCAGAATCTTCTTGAGTTTCCTTCATTATGTGTGTAGGTAACATCGTCGTGATTTTAAGTTAATCACTTCACCCCCTTTTCATAGTTTTTGCCTCTCTAAATCATTTGTGTTGCCTGTTTTTAGCAGTGCGATAATATTGCACACATTCTTTTTGGCTTCCTTCTTTCACTCACCATTATGTTTGCAGGATTGATCTGTATTTTTGTTTGTAGTACTAATTTATTCATTTTTAACTGCTGTTTAACATGCCATTGTATAAAAGTAAAACAAAAACATTATTCATTCTTCAACTGATGGAATTTTGTTGTTTACTGTTTTTGGCTAATGGGAAGAATGCTCCTCTCCCGTGTCCAGAGCCTATATTCTTGGGCACGTGAGCACAGATTTCCCTAGGGAGCCTCCTTAGGTGTGAGACTGCTTGGTCATAGGTGTGCATCTCTTCATCAGATAATTCTAGACTATTCCCCAAATTGGCTGAAGCAAGTTGTATACATCTCAGCAGTCTGTGAGATTCTACTCGCTCTGTCCCCTCTCCAACAATTGATTTGAGATTAAAACAAACAAACAACAAACTTGCATCTACCACCTTGGAATTCACAGTCTCACTTAATTGGTGCCACAGCCCTGAAGGAGCCACCATCACTACCAGTGACACAGGAAGGCAACAGAGGCTCACAGATGGGCTGTTACTTGCAGGAGGTCGCACAAGAGATTGCTGATTCCAGGTGTGGATGCTGTGGGAGCAGCCCCCAGGGAAACATCTGGTGAAGAGAGAGGAGCCTACAGAATCCAGACGGGGTGTTGGGGTGTCATTCTGGGCTTGTACCTTCCCGGCTGGACATAAATTGTAGCCCATTCAATCAGTTACTCAACCACATTAGCTGAGTCTCTGCACTCAGAGCTGGAGGCACAGAGACTCAGCAAGTCATATAAGGGAACATGGATGCTATAAAGAAGACATCTGTGATACACAATGGCGGAACAGAGCATGAGACACAGTGGAGTTATGGACACAAACTCTTCCTGTAGGCGTGGTGTTGTGTCTTCAAGGTCGGGGAATAAGAGAAGCCAGACACTGAGGAGACAGCATGGTGAGGGGCAAGACTCATGGTGGAGCAGACTTCTCAGAGGAGCATTCCCAGCCTCCATCATTGCCAGTTGCCAACAATACTGCTTCGTTGCCTTTAGGTCCTCACACAGGGTTCACTGTCTCGTACCTTCAGCTCTCCAGAACCTTCTTTGTCATCACAACCTTGCATCATTTTGTCCTAAGGTTCTACAAACCCCGAAGAGTGTGCACAGCTCCATCCTCAGTTTACCTCTTGCTTTTGCCTGGGGACCTTCTCTGACAGTGTCACGCCTCAAATAGCAACAGCCCCAACACCACCAGGATCAATCCAGACAGACCCAAGCGGATGAGATTCTCCACTGTGTAATCTGGGAGTTGGGGGCCTGGGGACAATGGGAGAAAGAAGTCAAGGAAGACGGGGCAGGTCACACTCCACACAGCCGCCAGAGTGAAGGTTTAGATCCCACTCTTATTGAACCAATTATGTACCCTGTCTGCACCCTGCTCCCCAAGCTGAACAGGTTAGGTTACTTACCACTCGTGGGGTCTTGGGTCTGCACTGAGGGGGTGACAGGAATAGGAGCCCCTGAGAATCAGGAAAGCAGAGAGGGTGAGGAGCTGAAAGCCTCTCAGCAGCATTCCCCCGAGATCTGCATCATTAAATCTCCCTACTCAAGTCAGCATTTTCCTGTGCTCTCACAATGACCCCTTCTGCACATGTAGGTGAGGTGACAACCCTATTGTATCTGATTTCTTCAGATTTAGAATTAGTTTTGGGGTCTTGATAACCCTAAAAGTGTTTGTGCACACCCCATGCCACAAGCTGAGAGGGAACAAGTTTGAAACTCTTGAAGTTTCTTTCTTTCTTGCTGTCTTCTCAGTCTGGAGCAATAGCCCAAGCTAAGCTTAGTCTCCTGGAAAGGAGAGTCCTGAGTTAATCCTCAGCTGAGAATCCTGGATCCATGGATGAGAGGTTCGGGCCCAGGGGCTCCTGAGGGTCGGGAACACAAAGGAGTGGAGGCCTGGGGCTGCCAGTCTTTGCCCAGCCTCGGCCAGTTCACCCCCACTCCTGTGTCTGCATTAAGAACCTTCAACTGGTTTTCTTTTGCTACTTCATTCATTCATTCATTCATTCTTTCATTTTCCAAATATTTATGGACTATCTAGATACACATACAATATGTAGATATAGATTTATGCGCAATTGGATGCTATATACATGTATTATATATGATATATATTCATGTAAAATATGTGTATACATTACATAATGTATTTATACTATGTATATTATATATATTTTACTTATTAGCTATATTTATATCTAAATATATAGACATATAGATAGAAAACATATGTATGTATTTAGAGAGAGAATGTATGTGTATATACACATATACACATAAACATGCATGTGCATGTGTGCACGCACAGGCACACATGTGTGTTGGTAAAGATGATAAAGGATAATTATCCAACCTCTACTTTCAAAGAATATATTATCTGGTAGGGGATACCAATTATTAAGCAGCAAAAAGTATAACAGATAAGTTAGATCTATAAGTGGAAAAATGTATAGTACCGTTAGGATTGGTTAAAACACCTTGAAAAATTATAGTAAGTGATAAAAGGATAGGACCTATTTGAATAGGATCACCAGCTACGATTTTATTTGGAGGAGGATCTTAAATCAAAACCTGAACGGTGAAAAGGAGCAAGGCATGTGAAGAGAGATTGCCAATATTCATCACATAGTAAATGTCTGTGTCCTTTGCCTAGACTATCCTATTGTAAAAGTTTAACCAAGACATAAGGAGTAATTCTTTCCACATATCCCTGCGCATTAGGTTGGTACAAGTATATTCATCACAGGATGGTTTGAAATAGCAAAAGTCTGGAAATAAACAAAATGCCAAATTACAGGACATTGGATAAATACATGCTGATACTTTCAATCAAGGGAATACTATACAGCCATTAAAAAGTCTAAAATGAATTTGTATATGCTGATAGCAGATGATTCTTTAGAATGCAATAGTCCATTTTTTTAAAATAGAAGAGTTCAGAACTGTTTATAAGGTGTTGACGGAAGATATGTTTATAGGATTTTCCTGAATATTTGGGGAAAAGATAGAAGAATATGGTCAGTGGTTGACTTTAAGGGAGGGGGCTGTGGGATGGGCAAATGGTAACAGAGACTGAAAGGTGATGTACTCTTTCTGTACAATATTTGTGGACAGTTTCAGGTTTGTACCACATCAATGCATCGCCATTAAAGAAGAGGAAGAATAAAGACCACTTCGGATTTTTCGGCAATGGTGCACTCCACATGTGGGAATAGGAGCCCAGCAGGAGGTGTTGGGGCCTGGACTTGGAGGACGGCAGAGGTGGGAAAGACATGGTGCACAGGAGAAAGTCATATGCTGTGGGATTATCCAGACAGCATGACAGATGGGATGAGATGGAGAAGGAAGAAGGCCATGGACAGCTCCTCACCTGTGACCACGAGCTCCAAGGGGTCACTGGGATGTGACAACAGGAAGGGAGTGCTGTTGAGTGACCCGTAGCACCTATAAGTCCCCCCGTGGTCCAGGGTCACAGGGTTCATGAGAAAGCTTGCCTGAAACTTCCCATCTTGGTACTGAGACCTGAGGTACAGTGGGGGACAGGTTTTCCCTTTCTTGGACAGATAGAACGTGTCAAACAACCTCCTGGTCTGACACCGCAGTGTCATGTTCTCTCCTGGGGCCACGGTGGGGCCTGGGTGGGCTGACAGAGTGGGAGCTTCTTCGTGAGGAAACAAGTCTAGGAGAGAGAAGTCCATGGTGTTAGGGGAAAACTCCATCTTTGTCCCCCGGTCCTTTGACCTGAACTGTGATTCCTCTCAAGCCCTCAACTCAAGGGCTTTCATTCTCCTACTGTTCCCATTTGTCCTAAGATCTTCAGATTCCTCATCCCATGCCATCCTTGTGTCTCATTGATTGTGCTCACCACCCTCCATTCCCAAGAAGACCCCAAGATGCCACTCTGAGACCCAGGAAAAACAGAAGTGTGGGATGGGGTGAGGCTCCTCGCCTGCCACCAGGATGTCCAGGGGGTCACTGGGGGCTGACCACTCCGAGGAGAGATTGTGTCTCCCATAGCATCTGTACCGGCCCCCGTGGGAGCTGCTTACTTGGCCCAGGGGGAAGTCGGCCTGAGGGAGCCCAGCCTGGGGCCACTGGCCACGGGCCTGGGGGAGGTCATGTCCCCACTCCTTGAAGAGAGCGAATCTGTCATAGCCGACATCAGAGCAACACTGGAGGGTCAATTTCTCTCCAGGGCCCACCACAGGACCTGGCAGACCTGAGAGGAACGGTTTCCTAGACACACCTGGGAGAAAAGGTGTTCATGATTTCCAAGAGGGTCAGGCTCCCCGACACATGTCCCTCTCCCCTGGGCCTCCGGACTTCTGACGCTTCTGTGTCTCTGGCTCCCAGAGTCCTGACTTCTCTCATCCCAACTTCATCCTACCTGATGATCCACCTGAGACAAGGCTCCTCTCTATCTGTCTGGAGACCCAGGGTGTTCAGGGGCAATGCTGTGAATTTCTCACCTGAGATCAGGAGTTCCAGGATGTCGCTGGAGGAAGACCACACATAGGGAGAAGTCGAGAAATAACCGTAGCACCTGTACGCCCACCTGTGACCTGGGCTCACAGGGCCCACAGTGGAGAGGACCTGGGACCACCCGTCAGCTTGGCGCTGTGAGTTCAGGCGTCCAGGGTTGTGTTCTCCTCTTTCGTCACACAGAATGAACCTGTCAAATCCCTGCTGTGAGCCACACTGGAGGGTCACGCTGTCTCCTGAGGTCACCACAGGGCTCGGCAGGGCTGAGAGGGTGGGTCTGTTGAACATTCCTGGGAGAGAACGAGGCAGAGGTGGTACAGGGGAGAGGGCACTTGAGGACATCATGCCAAGAGAGGCATGGTCTCACTTAAATGATGAAACTAAAATAGTCAGATTCGTAGAAGCAAATGGTGGTTGCCAGGGGCTGGGAGGAGGGCGACATGAGAAGTTCAAGGGGTACAGAGTTTCAGTTTTGCAAGACGATTACGTTCTAGAGATCTGCTATACAACGTTGTGCCGGTAGCTAACCATACTATATTGTGCACTTAAAAATTTACCAAGAGGGTCAATCTCACGTTAAATGTTCTTACTATAATAAAAAAGCGGGGCAAGGGGACCAGCAGCCCCAGATAGTCAACAAGGCTGGGCTGTAGAAGGGAGGTCCTTCCCAAGGCACGGCTCACCTGTGACCACCAAGTCCAGAGTCTCGCTGGGAACCGACCAGCTTTTTCTGCTGCGATACGAGCAGTGGTAGCTCCCAGCAAGGTGGTCGGTCATGTGCAAGATGGAGAACTTGACCTTGTCACCGGGTCCCAGTGGAAACTCACTTCTCGAGGGCTCCCTGACCCCCTCTTGGTACAGGTAGTACTGCCTGGCTTTCTGAGATCCCTGACACCAGATGCTCACGGGCCTCCCGTGAGTGACGACAGAGCTGGGCTCCGCCCAGATGATGGGTTTGAGCAGAGTCTCTAGAGGAGAGACAGAGGTCACAGTCCATGTATTCTCTGTGCCTCAGTTTCCCCTAACTCTCAGCCCTTGGGTCCCTCACACATGTGCCCCATTGATCAGTTTAGAATTCCTCTTCTCAACCCTCCAGATGCCCGGGTGCAGGGGCTCACATTGTCCCCAAGGTGGAGGCAGATCCTGGGACACCTGGGGATGGACTCACCTGCATGCATTTGAGTCCTGTGGCCCAGACACAGCCCTGAAAGAGATCTCGGTGAGAGGCCACTGAATCCTGAGCACATCCCCACCTGCCCTGAGCCTCCCAAGTTCATGGGGTCTTCCAAGAGATGACAGCTTGGTAGTGAGAGGGCACCCCCCTCCCACACGGGTGTTTATCCCTCTCTTCCCCAAAACTCACCGAGACAGAGAAGGGCTGTAGAGGTGATGGTCATGATGCTGCCTCCCATTGGACAAGGCTGGGCAGATGGACAAAGACACAGAACCTGGCAGAACAGACAGACCCACAGGATGTGGGCAGTTCGAGGCTTTCCCACCAGCTGGCTTGCAGGAAGGGGAACAGTTTCTGCTCGTGGCTCCAGAGGGCGCCTGCTTCCCTGTGGACAACTGAGACCCAATCCAAGGTGTCACCTGGACCCCAAGCTTGTGCCGACCAGGCGTGACCGCCTTCCTGGAGAGAGAGGGTGGGGACCCAGTTTGCAATCCTGAGTTGTCCTCATTGTCCACCTACGAGCTGGGTGTGCCTGAGGGAACATCACGCCCCTTCTCAGGACTTCCATATATGGGGATTTCTTTCCTTCCTTCAAACGTCTGCTGTTCCCGGTCCTGAATGGCCATCTGTGAATCAGAGTGATATAGTCACACTCCTGGCAGAGGTCAGATTACCAAAAGACAGACTTTCGGTGACTAATTTCATCATTAGTTACCTATTCGAAATAGAGAAATACAAGGAAATATGAAAATGTGTAACAGGAGGGAAATATGAGCTGTATGTTACAAAACATAAAAACCTAGTACCCATCTGTATAGGGGTCACCTTAAAAACTGACCATGTGTTCAATGTCCCTAATCATCAGGAACATGCAAATCAAAACCACAATAAGATACCACTCACATCTATTAGGATGGCTATTACTTAACAAAAAAAAAAAAGAGAGAGAAGAAGTGTTGACGAGGATGTGGAAAAACTGGAACCCTTGTACACTGTTGGTGGGAATGCAAAATTGTTCAGCTCCTGTGGAAAACAGCATGGAGCTCCCTCCAAGTATTCGAAATAGAACTACCATGTAATCCAGCATCCTGTTCCTGGATAGTGATCCCAAAGGACTGAATCAGGATCCCAGAGGGAAATTAGCACTCCTGTGTTCCTTCACTGTAACTTCATTTACCAAACAACCTAAATGCCCAACAACAGAGGGATGGATAAAGAAAACGTGGTGTATACACACACACACGCGTATACACACAATGGAATATTAATCAGCCTCAAGAAAAGGGAAATCCTGCCATTTGTGACAACATGGATGAACCTGGAGGATATTATGCTAAGTGAAATAAGCCCAACACAGAAGGACGAATACTGCAGGATTCCACTTTTAGAAGTATCTAAAACAGTCAAAGTCACAGATGCAGAGAGTAGAATGGTGGTAGGCAGAGGCTGAGAGGAGAGGGCAATGGAGATCAATTGTGCAATGGGCATAAAGTTTCAGTTACGCAAGATGAGTAAGTTCTAGGGAACCGCTGTACAACACTGTGCCTACAGCTAACAAGACTGTACTGCACACGTAAGACTTTGTTAGGAGGGCGGATCTCATGTGAAGTGCACTCAGCACAATAAATTTTTTAAAAAGAACTGACTGTGGTGTCAGACGTCCAGTCGAGATGGACAATCGAGCCCATGTTCAGAGCTCCCCCCTTAGCTCCAAACACAGAGAAGTTCTGGATAAGATGCTTGCAAAGGACGTGGCCATGGTCAGAGAAAGAGAGAGAAATGAAAGTGCCAGAAGTGGATGAGAAATGCCCAGTGGTGATCAACAGCTAAAGCCGGGTGGCCGATGCTGTTCTGGGACCAGCTAAGGGTCGTCTGCACTGAGACGATGCGTACGTGCAGTAGGAATATCTTCCAGAGCAGAGAAAGGGCACTGTGGCTGCCTGTGAGTCTGAAGTCTGTTCATGCTGGGGAATGGAATAGCTCATCCTCAGATGTGGAGCCGTGTCCAAAATTGAGCTCCTTTCTTCTGATTGGGGAGAAAACTTGAGTCCAAAAAACAAGCCATCATTTTCTTGCTGATAAAAATAAGACCAGAGGCAGGCCCCATGGCCAAGTGGTTAAGTTTGTACCTCCGCTTCGGCAGACTAGGGTTTCACTGGTTCAAATCCTGGGCGTGGACATGGCACTGCTCATCAGGCCGTGTTGAGATGTCGTCCCACATGCCACAACTAGAAGAACCCACAACTAAAAATACTCAACTATGTACTTGTGGGATTTGGGGAGGGAAAAAAAAACAGAAAAAAAAAAGAATAGTGGCAATGGTTGTTAGCTCAGGTGCCAATATTTAAAAAAATAAAAAAGTAATAATAAAAAATAAATTAAATAAAGAGTAGACACTCAAGTATAATGTGTTATACGTAAACATATATTACAAAAAAGTTTACTTACATGAAAGGGTTAATTTATCCAATATAGTAAATTAGAAAAGAAAAATAATGGGCAAAAACCTATTACCTATTAAAATGATGGACAAAAAATATATGAACAGATAAATAAAACGTGGTGTATCCATACTGCGGAATGATATTTGGCAACAAAAGAGAATGAAGTACTGATACATGTTATAGCATAGAAGAACCCTGAAAACTTGATACTAAGCGATAGGAGCCAGTAACACAAGACCACTTGCTGTGTGGTTCCATTTACACGAAATGTCAAGAATATGCAAATCCGGGGCCAGCGGGGTGGCGCAGCAGTTAAGTTCGCGCCTTCCGCTTTCCCAGCCTGGGGTCGGCCAGTTCGGATCCTGGGTGTGGACATGGCATCGCTCATCAAGCCATGCTGTGGCAGGCATCCCACGCATAAAGTAGAGGAAGATGGGCATGGATGTTAGCTCAGGGCCAGTCTTCCTCAGCAAAAAGAGGAGGATTGGCAGCGGATGTTAGCTCAGAGCTGATCTTCCTCAAAAAAAAGAAAAAAAAGAATATGCAAATCCATACAGACAGAAAGATTAGTAGTTACCTAAGACTGGGGTAAAGGGGAAAGTAGTAAAAAGACTGCCAATGGCTATGGGGTTTCCTTTAGAGTATTGAAAATGTCCTACAATTGACTGTGGCGATAGCTACACAATTCTGCGAATATATTAAAAAGAAAAAAACAATTGAATTGCACACATTAAAGAGGGTGAATTGTATAGTATGTGAGTTATGCCTCAATAAAACTGTTACCAAAAGCAAAATCTGAAGCAAATAAAAATATATCAACTGCAAATTCGTATCAAGTACGTGCAGATGATGTTCACTCATGTAAACAGATGCTCAGCTCATTCATAACAAGAGAACTTCAGGTGAAAGGTGCACTGAGAAATCGTTTCTTTTCTATCAGGTTGCGACATTTCCAACACTTGCCCACGAATACTCCCGGAAGGACGTAGGGAAGCAGTCACTCTTCCTCCATGTGGCTGACAGGACTGAAAAATGGCACGACACCTGTTTCATAAAATCCACTAGATTGTGTTGTCCGTAAAACTCTGGCACAGCAATCTTCTCTCTAGGAATCTGTCTTGGAGACATATGATGACAACTGGAGTGACATTTGTACAATATGCGTCATCAAAACCTCATTTGTAAAAAGCAAAGCAAGGAAACTATTTTGAAGCATCTGGGGGACCAAACAGGCATAAACACAGTGCAGAGGATGTGTGTGAGCTGCTGTGCCGTGACTTCCACAATGTGTGGTGTGTGAGCTGGATGACAGCCCCACAAAGATCCCACATCCTAACCTCCAGAGTCTGTGAATAATTTGCTAACTTGGCAAAAGAGACTTGCCAGATGTGGCTGAATTAAGGACCTTGAGATGGAGAGATGACCTTGGATCCTCCAGGTGAGCCCTAATGTAATCACCAGGCTCCTTGAAAGTGGAAGGGGGAGGCAGGAGGGGAGGGGCAGAGAAGAGGAGTGATGATGGAAACGGGGTCAGTGAGGAGCAGCCTGAGAACTTTGCCCCCTTTGTTGGCTTTGAAGATGGAGAAAGGGCCCTGAGCTGAGGAATGTGGGTGAATTGTAGACACTGGGAAAGGCAAGGGGATGGATTCACCCCCGGAGCCTCCGGAAAACAGCCCAGCCCTGCAGACACCTGGGATTTAGCCCAATGGGACCCGTGTCAGACTTCTAAGTTATAGACTGTAGGATCACGAATGTGTTGTTTTCAACACTGTTTGTGGTAATTTGTTACAGGAGCAACAGAAAACTGGAAAGATGGAAAGCAAGATGCAGAACAATATATAGAATGTGTTACTTGTTTCTAAGAAAGTAGCTAAATAAGATCATGTATATGTTTATTTATTTTTCACATTTTTTTCATTCTGAAAACCAGAAACTAACAAAAACAGTTACTTCCAATATGTGAAGGCACAGGGAGAAGGGAATATGATGAAGTGGATCATCTCTGAAGGTGCCATTTTATGTAGTTTTAACTTCTGAAACCTGTAACTATTCTACTTATTCCAAAACACATAATTAAATTACAAAAGATGGGAAAAACACACCCTAACATGAATATAAAGGAATAAAAACAAAGATAAGCTTATATCCAATTCACAACAGAGTCACAGGGTAAAGAGAAAAAAGTCACCATGTTAATTTATTAGGAATTGGGGTTTGAAATATAAGTGATACAAGAATAACACAAAAAGCTAATAAACTCTGTGGTGTTAACTAGGGTTGGAAATGTCTATGTGAATTCACACTTTGCATCCTCCCTGAATATTAAGCGGTCCATAAAGAACAAAATCCCAGTAGCCTTGAGTTCACATAACCACCAGATCTTGTTTTCTAATATTGTTCCCCACCAAAAGGAACCCAAGAACTCCTGGAGAGAAGTTGGATTCCTGGTCCAGCGCAGGAGGAACACAAGAAGAGCCTGGGAACCCATTTTAATCCAGACAGCAAGACAGAGCTCAAATCATCAGTGGATTCATCTCAAAAAGCACAGCAGGAAGCTGGAAGAGCCTTCGATGGCCATGTTTGGGAAGCTGGATGCCAAAAATTACAGTGAGGACGCTCCCTACTCTGAGTGGGATGCAGGGGGTCCTTGCAGGCAGCTCTCGTGCTGAAAGATCCCCTGTCACTCACTGAGAGAGACTGACACAGAGTCAGATGAGCAGAGAGGCACAGGTCCTGAGAGAAGCCTTGAGTCAAAGCAAAGTGACCCTCCCCTCACCTGTCACTTGTCTGTGCTGAGAAAAGGGAAGTGGACATGGGAGAACCATCCTGCTCAGCCCTGCCTCACAGGGAATGTTCAGTGAGAGTGGGGAAACTCATCCTTTATCCTGCATCCCGGCCACACTGGGCTCCAAGCACTGGGTACAACCCGCTCCCCTCAGCACTGCCTCAAAGACAAAGCCCGTCCTCCAGACTCTGGGGCCGAATGTGTGCCAGGCTGGGCTTCAGGATGCTCCTGGTCAGAGGTTTTGGTTGAAATGTCAGGGGGTGAGGTCAGAGTTTGTAAGGAATGGTCTGCACCTGAGGTCAGTTTCCAGAAGCTTGGGGGCCTCCTGAGACCAAGAGTGTCGGACTCCAAGTGTATGAAATTCCTTCCTCTGCTGTAACAAATTAATACA